TTTCAAACTTCACACTTTTGTGCTCACTTAATTTTATAACTTAACTGATTAATAGCATATTTCAAGTTCTGGTTAGTGAAATTTCTGTCAAAATTTTTTTTAAAAAATAATAATTCTGGTTAGTGAAATGTTTGAATCAGTTCTGCTGCTTACATGTTGATAGTAATAAATCTAATAATGACTTTTTCTTAAATACATATATATAATGAACTTATGTGTATTTTGATGTTCATTGTGTTGAGTTCCTGATACTAGTGATTGATCAAGTGTTAAGCATTAACAATGTTGCACGATAAATTGAAGGTCTTATAGTGATAATGTGATATTTGAACCATGTTCCATCACTGGAACTTGGAAGAATGTGTTGAAAGGAACCTATTGCACATTATGTCTTCTTGATGACATTGGCTAGTATCTTAACTCCAAATCCAGATAACGGAAGGAATTTTTGGATTGTGTCGAATCTAGTGAAAGAAAACACAAAAATATTCCCGGGATTGAAGAGAAGTATCATAGAATCTTTAGTTGTGAAGAGAAGTGGGAAAAGTCTGTGGAACGGTGTAGCAGTTGTTAGCTGTCGATGATATTTTAGGGTAAGGTTGCATACTTGTGAAGTTTCTTGGATTCTGCCATCAGCACAATCCGTAGTTCTTGCCGTAGGAGAGGTGGATTGGGACTAAGGATCATTTTGGATGTCCAACTACTACTATTGAAAAGAAGCAATGAAATCCATCTTCATTTGTTCCCGGTAGTCGACTAGTCGGTAGAGTAGTAAGATTTGGAAGGTGAATAGTTTAATGTCAAATTAACCACCTTCTTCATCTTTTCTACTTCCACCTAATTATAAATATCATATATACCTTTGTTAATGGTCAATTTATTTCCTAGAACATTTAAGATCTGAGTATGCAGTCCATTGGCGTTGTCTGGTAAAGAGAGTTTGACAAAGATGAGTTGATTTGACCATTATAGAGGGTTAATTACATAAGTCTACTATTTTGGCTGTTTGGTAAATAGCTGATTCAATGAGCTGGTTGTACTTAAGACTTAACCCTTTAATTTCTTCAATTTTTAAAAAGTTAAATGATCTTTCCAAGTTAGCTGGCTGTGAAATTTAAGCTAAATGACCACCATTGTTTTGTTAAGTTACTAAAAGTTACATCCCTGCACAATTTATTTACCTATTCTAGAACTTATTTGTCATTTCACTTATTCAAGTAACAAAACTACTACTAGTTACTAGCTACTTTCATCAAATCTAATGCAACCAACTAGTCAAACCAGCCAAGGCAACCAGCTCTTAGCAATCACCAAACAGATACAATCACAAAGGTTATAAGGTTTATTCTGCAGGGAATTTAACGTCGTATTCTTTTATGATGCATGTACGTGTTGGTATTCACCTCAATATGTAGCTGTAGAGCTTGAGGTTCTTGCTATATCTTTGTAGAGGATGTGATGGAGTGAAAGGATCTTTTGGTAGGGGATGATTGAGAAGATAAGGAGGGGTTAGCCGGTTAGGGGTAAAAAAAAAAAAAAATAAAAAAAAAAATAAAAAAAAAAAAATAAAATAAAATAAAATAGAGCCCTCCTTATGGTGATTCTATGTTTTATTATAGAAGCTGAAAATTAAGCTAAGCCCTTTTTTACACTTTATTTAATTTAATTATTGGATTTGCTCATTATTTTGAGGGGACATCCATTGATATGATTATGGAATGCCTTTGCTACCTGATATCTTGCTTTCTAATGCCTTTGCTACCCGACGTCGTATCTCTATGAAGCAGAGGCAACATTGGATGCATGATATGTACTTGAACCATAAGGCTTTAAAGGATTAAGTTTGCAATAAGATAATCAATGTATTCTGTGAGCCTTTTTTTTCCCTTTAAATAATAATTATTATTATCTTTACCCCAAAATTTGAGGACAAAATGGATGATCAGTTCTTCTGCTATCACTTTGCCAGAAGAATTCCATTTAGCTTGTAACAGATGAGATTCAACCTTAAAAGCTCTTTTCTTTTGTCATCTATCAATCATATTATTAGCTCAAAGATCATGTTTGTCTGTGATGTTAACTTGTAGCAGCCTGTCTGCTCTTTCCAGTCCCTAGTTTCAGCTTCTCACTATATTAATATACATAGTACTTCAAATCGACCTTTAGTGGCTTCCTTTATCTTTAATGATGCGAAGATTTCTCATCAACCTGTTAGCACCATCTATTTTTCTAGTTCTATTCCCTCATGAATATTTCTCTGATCTAGACTGTTAATTTCCTTTCTGTCTCCGTTCCTGAAGAGCTTGCCTTTTTCTTCTATATTATCTTCCTCCCATATGATTTTGTGACTTTTGTCTTTTTATGTTCAAGTCAAAGTTTTCAAACCTAGTATTTTGAGAGCTACACAGGTTTGACATTTTCATTGTACTAATTTTACCTTCTGAACCCTTTTTGACTGCTTACTTCAAATTCAGTTCCGTACCCCAGTTAAGATCTGATTCTAGTCAAACTAGTGTATAATGGATTATTACCAAAACCAATAAAAAGAAAGAAGAGGTAAGCTGATATGGGAAATGAATAGGCATGACACCAAGGACATTGTGGTACTTAAAACCTTTGGAGTTGTGCTTCATTTTGTGGATTTCTAGTTGGTCATTGTCTTGCTTTCAGAATCAATATTGAGTCTATAGCATCTATCATCGATCACTTCTTTTCTTTCGTAGCCTCCTCCCTTTGTATCTATGTTACTGTTTTCACCCTAATGACCTTAAGTAAACTTGAATGCTCTGCATTCATCTACACCTCGTCTTCATTCACGTATTGATGCACAATGAGTTGTCACATTAGTTTTTTGTGATACAGAGAATATGTATACGGCACCCCTTTAAAATCTACTTAGTTATATAAATATGGGATCGATTAAATATCAACCTGAAGCTGTTTGTTACATCAATTGAATGGTAGGAGTTGAGGATTTTAAAAAGAAAATTCAATTACGCAGTTACGGAGATGGAGTTGTTTTCCATTGTAATAGCAGTGGTCATTATAACTTTAGCTCTTGATATCTGCCAAAACTTATAATCAAATGAAATTTTCTTCCTATTTTTGTTAAATTCAGCGTTTGGTGTTATCTTTGGCTTAAAGTTAGGTTGTTTGGCTTTGTATCTATTTGTTTCATGTCCTGCATGCTCAGTTTACTAAACATAATGATCAGATTTGGGCCATTCTTTGCTCTACAACATGTTTGATTAGTTGATAGTTTCCAGTGGTAAAGTTTTGTGATGTTTTTTTTTTTTCCATCTCAGGATGAAACCATTATTGACGTGAAGCAGCCATTAGAATATGTTGACAATGCTGTCTGTGAAGGAGGCATGGCACCTGTGAAAGAAACTTCTACCTCCTTGAACAATTCCTCTCAGAAAAATTCTCAGACTTCGAGTCCAATTTCAGTTTTCCAAACAGAGAGGTCATACACTGATGTCATATCAGCAATGCGTGCTCAAAGCCAATGCCATCAACCCACAAAGAACAATTTTCCAGGAGGCCGTCAATTTTTTGGCACCACTATTTATACCAGAGAACAAAATTCAGCGTGCCAGTCTGAGTCAGAGTACTCAATGGAGTCTTCTCTATCAGATGAAACTGAAGAGTATATTCCATCCAAGCAGGTGCGGACTAGGAAAATTAGTGATATACTTGATTCAGATTCTGACCCAGCAGTGAAGAAATGCATGCACTGCAAAACAACAGACACCCCGCAATGGAGGACAGAGCCCAGGGGACGAAAAACCCTATGCAATGCATGTGGAGTTCAGTATAAACATGGTAGGCTTTATCCTGATTACCGCCCTTTAAAGAGTCCAGGATTTGATCCTTCTATACACTTTAATCTGCCCAAGAAAGTCCAGGAAATGAGAATGGGTAGCTCAAGTGAGCAAGGTCCAAACCCTACTCCTAAATCTAACAAAATCGAAGAGAGGAGGATGGTTTACACAATTGAGAAGGGTCCAAACCTGACTCCCAAACCAAAGGAAGGTGAGGAGATTAGAATGAGTCACACAAGTGGGAGGGATCCAATTACTCCTAAAACCAAATCTCAACGCCCTTCTTTTGAATCTGATTCTGACGAGGAGTGGATCTTGGGTAACAATGAGAGGGACCAGAACCGTGCTCATAGAGCCAAGAAATTTGAGAAATTAAGAGAGAAGGTTAGCAATGAGATTCAATCAGATTCTAGAGAAAGGAGCCAAAACTCTGACTCTTATCTGAGTCTGAAACGCAAACTGCCGAAACATGCGGGCAAGAAGTGCCTACATTGTGAATCAAAGGATACCCCACAATGGAGGGAGGGGCCTATGGGACGACATACACTTTGCAATGCATGTGGTGTGCAATACAGAGCTGGTAGGCTATTTCCTGAGTACCGTCCTTTGAAAAGTCCTACCTATGATCCGTCTTTGCATTCCCATTTGCCCAAGCAAGTCCTGAAGTTGAGAATGAGAATGAACAGTGCTGAGAAATGTGCAACTTCTGGTACTCATGAAAAGCCACCATGAGTTTAATCCAGGAAGCAATTTAAGCAATTTTCTGTCTTCATACCAAACACTGGATATTTAGGTTACAGATTCCCTCTGCTAGTTCCCCGATGCCACAGCTTCTTGTTCTCAGTGTCCCTTCTTCCCCGTTTTCCTCAATTTTTATGTGCACATCACTGAAAAATAGGAATGGCTGTTGCTAAAAGTAGCTCAAATTTGTGGGTTGAGCTGGCTAATCAATAGGGAAAAAAAAAATAGGAGTAAAGCATGTATGTATATTATGAACCGCATAATTATATATTTGGTATGCATAGTTAGTATCTCTGGTAATCTGTATCCTAATTATGTCATCCTCTTTATAGAAGAACTATGAAGCAGTTTGTACTGTATTTTGGTATGAAGCAGTTAATCTGACATTAACATTTTCTAAAATGAGAATGCAATTTTGTTTTCATAACGGTGTATGATGAGATCGAGTATGTGAATTTCAAATATTCTTGTAAAGAGACATTCTGACATCAGGGAACAGTAAGTCTCTGTTATTCTAGTACAATACGTGACTAATCATCTTCGTATAATCAGAAGCAGAAAAACAATGTTTAGTTATTCAAATAATTAGGATTCTACTATACTTGTACTGACTGTAAATGCTTAACTGAAATAGCAGACAGATAAGAGCATTAAAGAAAGCCCTTATCTTGGAAGCTTTTGATGCAGTCATCAAACATTTGAGGAATTGTCTTAAAGCCAGGAAATCCCAGTTGTTCAATCTTGCTAGTATCCATGCTATGAGGCTTGTCATCTACTTTCTGAGATCCACACCTGCAACCACAACGGAATCTGTAAACTGCAAAATTCCTAGCTATGTAAACCAGTTAGTACTAGTGCTTTTTATGTGCTCACATTTTTTCACATGGATAGCTTTGATACTTAGCTTTCAGCATGTCTATGATTTTTGACCAATGAGCTACTGCGCTTGAGCAAATCAGCCTCCCGGATGCCTTGCTTTCTTCCATGGCCAGAATGTGTGCTGCTACCACATCATCAATGTGCACAAACCCTATTTCCTGGTTCGGATATTCACCTATTGCACCTAGAAAAATGACATGTTTATTTCCATAACAGAAAGAGGTAGATTACATTTGTACGAGTATGTCTAAAAACAGGCTGCAAGATCTACCTTTAATGATCCCAAGCAGTAGCAGCAGTGTGCTAGTAGGTTGCGGTCCAATTAAGGGACCAATGACAAATGATGGGTTCACTACCACCAAATCAAGACCATTTACTTTGGCAATCTTCCATGCTGACTGCTCAGCTAATGTCTTCGCATATGCATACCAAAGCTGATGAAGGAGCAACAAAAGTTAAATGGCTAGTCATTACAAAAAGCGTGATCTGGTATGCATAAGGTAATATTTCTTTTGTTCATGGCAGATTACCAACCTGAAAGAAGGGATATGCTACTTACATTATGTTTTTTGCAGTAGTCGGAATCACTCCAGTGAGACTCATTAAGAGGGGAAATATGCTGGACGTCTTCGCGGTATCTTATAGCAGAACATGAAGAGGTAAATACAACCCTTTTAACAGTAGTAGCCTTTATGCATGATCTTAGGACATTCAAAGTTCCATTTATACTAGGTTCAATCAGATTTTCCTGCAAGGGTTGCTGTCATTGTCACGATGAACTTTTGTACAATACATAATCTTGTTAAATTACTAAGAAGAAGCTTTTAAAGAAAATTATGCCCCCTTATAAACTTTTGGGAAAAAAATGATGCTCACTCACTCTTACATTACAGATTGATATTCTATCACTTTTTTGTATCATATGTGCATAATTGAAGTCTATTGGTTGATCTTAGCAATATGTGCACAACTTTTCTAATTTGATTTGGAAATAGTTCAAATAAACATATTTCGTATAATATTAAGTGGATACATATGTCGTGTGGTACCCTAAAAGTGAATCATGTGATATAGATTCCATCTAAAAACTCTTTTAGCTCAATATTACCTTTTATAGTTCCCTAATGTAGATTTTTGTGCTCTTTTATCAAATTAATAACATATAAGTTACATTTGAGTGGACATTAGAGTCATATTTAAATCATTGAATCAATATACTTGATTATCTTTTGTAATAGGTAAGTTTTTGCATCCTTACCATGCCGTGAGTTGTCTTTCATTAGATTGCTTAATCAAATGTGTGGTTAAGGATAATATCATAAGTGAAGAAATAGATTTACTGAATATAGATCGATTGATGATCAAATTTTAATTTGAGAGAGTGATAGATCGATTAATACTTGGACATTTTCATCATATCGCACAAGCACAGGAGCAGCAGCATGAAAAACACCATCAACACCTTTGATAGCTTCATCAAAGCTTCCTTCCTCCATCAAATCTGCTTTCATGATTTTGAGGTTTTCTTTTGCTCCCTTCATTTCCCATAAAAATCCTACCTTCTCTTCATTTTCTGTTTCACTTAAAATAAGTCAACTAAATTGAAAATTTGATAAACAATATTCTGTAAGATACCCATGTATGATTTGCTACAAGTAAGACATATAATGCATCTATATAAATTTAGTATATCATACACATATAGATATATTTGAGTTATGAACCTGGATTTCGAACAGTAGCACGTACAGTATGTCCCTTTTCAAGTAGCGACTTTACTAGGTTTGCTGCTATGAACCCTGTGCCTCCAGTTACACAATATTCCGGCATCTTAATCTGTCTGTGCTTCTTCCCTGTTATGTTGCTTGCGTCTCTTGATGATGGCTTCTCACAATGCTATATACCTACCATATGTGGTCTGTATAAGATATATGTCATGATCTTGGCGTTCTAACAGCATCTAATTTTTTAAGTGTTTGTCAATTGTATTTATATGTATTTTTTACATGAGTAGGTTGGTCATCCAAGCCATGCACAATTGCACAAAGGGACTATTGTAGTTCTTTTTTTTTATACGCGCAGTATTGTTATTTGTAAGACATATCACATATGTGCCATAAGTTTCGTACACAAACATTACATATGTACAATTTTGGCCTGGTGCTGAACAACCAGTGGCTGATGGACTCAGTGTTTAGCACCATGATAATACACCTCCAACAATCGGAGCAAATTCTGCTCAGAATGTCTTGCGTGATGAGCTTTGAATACTTTATTATTCTGTTCTTCCTCTTTTTTTATAATACGAAGTATAAACTTGCAAATTCAGAGGGAAAAACTATCCATTAACCACTCTTTTAAAGCTATATACTGTACTTTGTTGGTGTTGTGGTTCTCATTACAGTATTGAATTTACATGCCGACTCTTGTCTTGTGAGACAGGAGATTTTAAATTAAAGTTTGATTAGTATTCCGTGAACATACTAACGAAGATATTAAACCAATAACAAAAGCATGATATGGAATTGGATTTGCTATGTTCTGCAAAACATGACCCCTACTGTATCTTCATTTGATTCATTGACATTGTAACAAAATGCTGCGAGTATCTGCAAATATGTACATTTCTCAGATAGAGTGCGAGTGTCTTGTGGTCTGGACTGTTTTTTGGAAGCTATGAGTGATGTTGATAAGTATATTAGGTGACTCGTACTTCGTAGCTTTGTCCGCCCGATCGGGCGGACATTGCCCGGTCTGACCGGGCGGAAGAAGAAGAGGTGCCTGGCAAATTCGTTGAAGAAGCTGCTCTCGCGCCCGACCGGGCGAGCCTTCGCCCGATCGGGCAGACCTTGCCCGGTCTGACCGGGCGGAGAAGGAAAAATGCGGAGACGCAGATTTTACGATTTAAAGTTATCTTTTATGTTATCTTTTTGCCCAAGTATCTTTTATTTTAGGGATTAATATAAAACCTCCCTAATATCAGTATTAGGGTTAAAAGAGAGACAGAGTGAGAGCCGTTCTTGAGAAATACAAGAATCATCTTTGTAATCTTTGCAGTTTATAGTGAAATCATTCGATCTCGGTGCCCGTGGACGTAGCTATCACATCGATAGTGAACCACGTAAATTATTGGTGTTGTTCTTATTGTTTGCATTGAATTTCTTTATTGTTTTCTTGTTTGTTTTCGACCTTTGCTTCCGCTGTCGCACAACAATTGGTATCAGAGCTCAGGTTCAATCCTTGGAGAGTTTCTTGAAGATAACAATGGCAGGAGATTCAACAATAAGAATTGAGAAGTTTACCGGGAAAAATAGTTTCGGGCTATGGCAAATTAAGATGAAGGCTCTGTTAAAACAACAGCAGATATGGCGTCCGTTGGCTCCAAAGAGTACTACTTCGGAGTCAGGAGACGGACCGACTGACTCGCAGTTAGAAGTTATGGAAGAGAAGGCACACTCTACCATATTACTTAGTCTTGATGATCAAATCATCACGGAGGTGGCTGATCAGGAAACGGCGGCTGGATTGTGGCTGAAGCTGGAGTCATTGTATATGACTAAGTCGTTGACCAACAAATTATTACTGAAACAGCGGTTGTTTAGCCTCCGGATGCAGTCAGGTACTTCCTTACGGGAACATCTAGAAAAACTTAACTCTATTTTGCTTGATTTACGTAATTTAGATGTTAAAATTGATGATGAGGATGCTGCGTTGATTTTACTTGTATCTCTACCGTCTAGCTTTGAGAATTTTGTAGAGTCTTTTGTTGTTGGTAAGGATTCTATAACCTTAGAAGAAGTGAAGGCAGCACTTCATACTAGGGAACTCAGAATGAAAGCTACGAGTGATAATGGGGATAATGGTAGTGGGTTGTTTGTTAAGTCCGGAAAGTCTAAAAAGAATAAGGGGTTTAACAAGGGGAACAATGCTGGGTCGGGTGCTGGAAACGGCAAGGATGGATCTAGTAAAACTACTACTAAAACATGTTATTACTGTAAAGAACCGGGTCACTTTAGGAATAATTGTCCGGTGAGGAAAAACAAGTCCCAGGCTGCTGTAGTTGAAGAGAAACCGAATGAGAGCTATAATTCAGAGGAAGATTTAGCATTAGTCAGTTCTGCTAGGTCTGATGATTTATCTGATAACTGGGTTCTAGATTCGGGGTGTTCGTTCCATATGTGTCCACGTCGAGATTGGTTTGATACATATGAACCTCGCAATGGGGGTATGGTTATAGTCGGTAACAATGCTCCATGTAAGGTCACAGGTATTGGTTCCATGAGGTTGAGGACTGTTGATGGGCGGAGGTTAACTTTGACTAATGTACGGCATGTTCCTGCTTTAGGAAAGAATCTGATTTCATTGGGTACCCTGGATGAATTGGGGTACAATGGTGTGTTTTCAGATGGGGAGTTGTGTATTTTCAGAGGTTCTGAGTTGGTACTTAAGGGTATCAAAAGGAACACCCTCTATGTTTTTGAGGGTGTTACACTGCCTAGTTCTGCGGTTTGCGCATCTGTATCTCACCAGGAGATGACTAAGATTTGGCACATGAGGCTTGGTCATATGGGGGAGAAGGGGATGCAGCTATTGTCCAAGAGGGGTCTTCTATCCGGGGTCAAGGTTGCCAACCTTGAATTTTGTGAGCATTGTGTGTTTGGTAAGAAACACAGGTCAAAGTTCAGCAAGGGTGCTCACATTACTGATGCAGTGCTCGATTACATCCATTCAGATTGCTGGGGTCCATCTAGAGTTGAAGGTATGGGAGGTTACCACTATTTTGTGTCATTTGTTGATGACAAGTCCCGATACACATGGCTTAGGTTGCTTAAGTCAAAGGATGAGGCCTTCAAAGTTTTCAAGCAATGGAAAGCTTTGGTGGAAAATCGACAAGGAAGGAAGATCAAGAAGCTACGAACGGACAATGGGCTAGAGTTTTGCAAAGACGAGTTTAATCAGTTCTGTGCAGATGAGGGTATAGGTCGGCATCATACTGTCAGGAAGACACCACAGCAGAACGGTGTAGCAGAACGGGTTAATCAGACACTGCTAGAGAGAGTTCGATGCATGCTCTCTAATGCAGGGCTTGGGAGGAGGTACTGGAGTGAAGCTGTGTTAACAGCTTGTTATGTCATTAATAGGGGTCCTCATTCTGGAATTGATTCCAAAATTCCGTTTGAGATCTGGAGTGGTAAGTTGCCTAATTTTTCGAATTTGAAGATTTTTGGTTGTGTTGCTTATTATCATGTTATTGAGGGTAAGCTGGATCCACGAGCCAAGAAGGGGTGTTTTGTTGGGTACGGGGATGGTGTGAAGGGGTTTAGAATTTTTTCACCTTCGGAGGGTCGGGTCATTCTTAGTAGGGATGTTACTTTCGATGAAAACACCATGTATTCAATTAAAAATGCAGAGATTTCAGATTTGAGAAGGGAAGGAGACAATTTATTACAGACAGATGGGGTACTTGAGGTACATCAGTCTACCATTGCTGATTTACCTCGGGTACAATATATTGATGATGATGCTGATGTTCCAGTGCCGGGTACTCCTGAACCTGAGATTACTCCTACTCATTCTAACTCTGGGGATGAGGTGGAGCAATCTAATCAGGGGTCATCTAGTCAACCTGACACCATTCTTGAGATGCCTAAACGAGTTATCAAGAAGCCTGTTAGATTGATTGAAGAGATGGAGGGAAGAAATTGCTGTGTTGATGCGATGACAGGTTATGCATTGAGTGTAGCTGATGATGTAGAGTCATTTGAACCTGCCACATATAAACAAGCAATTAGTTGTAGTGAGTCTGCGCAATGGCTTGCCGCAATGGGTGAAGAGATGCAGTCCCTTTACAAGAACAGAGTGTGGGAACTGGTAAAGGTACCGGAAGGGAGGAAGCTTGTGGGTTGTAAATGGATTTACAAGAAGAAAGAAGGGTTGTCGGAAACTGAGCAAATACGTTTTAAGGCTAGGCTAGTTGCTAAGGGGTTCAGTCAGGTAGAAGGGGTTGACTTTGTTGAGATATTCTCACCTGTGGTTCGACATACTTCTATCCGTGTGTTATTGTCAATTGTAGCACATTTTGATCTTGAGCTGGAGCAGTTGGATGTTAAAACGGCCTTCCTTCATGGCGATTTGGAGGAGGAGATTCTGATGAAGCAGCCCGAAGGATTCGAAGCTCCTGGAAAGGAACACTATGCCTGCAGATTGCTAAAGTCATTGTATGGACTTAAGCAATCCCCCCGACAGTGGTACAAAAGGTTTGATTCTTTTATGGTTTCACAAGGTTTTGACAGGAATTCATATGATTGCTGTGTGTATCATAGTAAGCTGGATAATGGTTCCATGATTTATCTTTTGTTATATGTTGATGACATGTTGGTTGCCACAAAGAATAAATCTGATATTGCTAGATTAAAGGAGATGCTTAACTCGGAGTTTGACATGAAAGACTTGGGTGCAGCTAGGAAGATTTTGGGTATGGAGATCTACAGGGATCGGGCTAGAGGTAAGCTTTTCTTGACTCAGAAAAGCTACATTGAAAAGATTCTGTCTCGTTTTGGGATGGAAAAATCGAAGCCTATAAGTACGCCAACTACTGTTAGTTGTAAGTTGTCTTTGTCTATGTCACCTCAATCAGAGGAGGAGTTGTCTTATATGTCTAGAGTTCCATATGCAAACGCGGTTGGTTGTTTGATGTATGCTATGGTCTGTACTAGGCCGGATATTGCGCATGCTGTTAGTGTTGTAAGCAGGTTTATGGCTCGACCTGGGAGGGAACACTGGCAAGGGGTGAAAAGGTTTTTTCGCTACCTGAGAGGGACAGCTGATATTGGTCTTGTGTACGGGAATGATAAGGAATGCTTGGTCACTGGGTACAGTGATTCTGATTATGCAGCTGATGTGGATACCAGGAGGTCTGTGACTGGTTATGTGTTCACTTTGGGTGGTTCTGTGGTTAGTTGGAAGTCTACATTGCAGTCATCAGTTACGTTGTCAACTACTGAAGCTGAGTATATGGCTCTAACTTCTGCAGCTAAGGAGTCTATTTGGCTCAAAGGCCTAGTAGGTGAACTGGGTATTGCACAGGATTTTGCTACAGTGTATTGTGATAGTCTAAGTGCGATTTGCTTAGCTAAAGATCAAGTACACCATGATCGGACGAAGCACATTGATGTCAGGTATCATTTCTTACGTACTGACAAGAGGATTAAGGTGAAGAAGATTGGGACTGCTGACAACCCGGCTGATTTCTTCACTAAGCCTGTTCCGTTTAGCAAGTTTAAACATTGCTTAGACTTGCTAAATATTGATTACTACGTGATGTAGTAGGCCCTGAGGGGCGAAGTTGGGGAGCTCCTGGTGTAGGTGTGTTGGCCTTAAGGTGGAGCTTGCCCGGGGCTTGTGATGCAGGTGGAGCATTATGAGTTGTTATACTTGGAGACGAGTATGTGATGGGTCTTGGTTGAAGACTTATCGGGATGTATGGCTTATGCATGAGTCTTGCATCGGGTTTGGCTTGAGATGTTTTTTCACTATGTCTTGATGGGGTCGTTTGCTGACTACGAGTTCTCGTCAAGGTGGAGATTGTTGATAAGTATATTAGGTGACTCGTACTTCGTAGCTTTGTCCGCCCGATCGGGCGGACATTGCCCGGTCTGACCGGGCGGAAGAAGAAGAGGTGCCTGGCAAATTCGTTGAAGAAGCTGCTCTCGCGCCCGACCGGGCGAGCCTTCGCCCGATCGGGCAGACCTTGCCCGGTCTGACCGGGCGGTGGGGGTTGGATACGTTGAAGCATTCGTATGGAGTTTTCTTCTCGCGCCCGATCGGGCAGACCTTGCCCGGTCTGACCGGGCGGAGAAGGAAAAATGCGGAGACGCAGATTTTACGATTTAAAGTTATCTTTTATGTTATCTTTTTGCCCAAGTATCTTTTATTTTAGGGATTAATATAAAACCTCCCTAATATCAGTATTAGGGTTAAAAGAGAGACAGAGTGAGAGCCGTTCTTGAGAAATACAAGAATCATCTTTGTAATCTTTGCAGTTTATAGTGAAATCATTCGATCTCGGTGCCCGTGGACGTAGCTATCACATCGATAGTGAACCACGTAAATTCTTGGTGTTGTTCTTATTGTTTGCATTGAATTTCTTTATTGTTTTCTTGTTTGTTTTCGACCTTTGCTTCCGCTGTCGCACAACAAGTGATTTGCTGAATTCTGTTTTTTTATGCCAGCAGCCAAAAGTTTTTGTGGGTTCTGGTGTTGAGAAGATAACCTGCATTTTGACTCTTCTTCTGAACTCCAACATAGGTACATAAGCTGTTTTCTATCAGAAACTCTGCGGTGTCTACTACCTTTGACCCTCCTAGCAATTGGCCTCCATTTTTCCTAGCTCTGTTATATAACCAAGATATAATTACCAGAAAACGACATCAATTTATGAACAAGAAGTATTTTATAAACATTTTACATTTAAAATGCGAAAAAATGATGTATATGACTCAATGGATTGTAATAAGGAGCTAAAAATGGAATTTATTAAAACTACCATATTAGAAAATTGTACCAAATGTTTATTTACAATCCTAAAGGTTGTATATACTAGTATCTGATCATATAAAAACTTACCCTATAAAAATATTGGGAAGACTTCGACGTTGTCCAACAATAAGAAGCTCAATCTCTAACAACTTGCTCTGAGATAAAATTGTAGTAGCCTTGTCCATGCATCCTTGCTCCACCTTTTCAACTTGAACTTTCATTTTAGGGTAGGCTGTCTCGCATGCCTTCTTCATGACCTTTAAAAAATCTTCATCCTTCCCACCTCCATTGCCATCGCTAACCCAACTACCTCCAAAAATACCTCCACCACTTCCGAAAACAATGCCACTAATGGCACTATTACCAAGTATGCCACCAGCAACACCGCCACCACCTTTTGAAGGATCATTTGGGGTTGCATTAGAGAGTTCAAACTGATGTTTTCGGAAGAAGGTGCTCAAATGTGAGCTAAACCTACCCTTCCTAGGACAAGGGCTCGTTACATGTATCAAAATCAATTCATCCTTCTCAATTATTGCATGTCCAAGGGCATATTGTAGGGCAGCTGTTGCAATACAGTATTCACATAATGTTTTTTTTTAGAAATTTCAGTTCTAATTAACGTTTTAGACACTATTCATCATTGTTATTTCGAAAACATTTGTGTGAGTCGGACCCACGGTGAGTCCAATATATCTGACATTAAATTATTAATATCAGATATTAGATTCCTCATGTTAGATATTAGATTATTAATGTCACAGTGAGTCTGATCTCACGCAAAAGTTTCTCTTGTTATTTTTATCATTATATATTTTTAAACTATCAACTTTTTCTTTTATAAATTTTCTAAAAGATGAATTAAGGCAATATGTACTGTCAAACTTATACATCGGAAAATCATTAAAACTCCGAATGATATAAGTAGAAAAGAACAAAGGAAATAGATGTAAAATACTAACAATTTTTCACAAAACTACCTAAAAATTTGATCAAATTTAACCCTGAGTCATATCCGGCTCTAATTTCCAATTGATGGTAATATTATCAAGGGTAAAACCGTAAAATTAATCTTTTTTTAGCTTAAAGATGCGTTAATTTCTAAGATTATAATCTAGTTTGAGCTTAAAGTCTTAAACATTAGTAAGATACATACTTCATGTGGTCTTCATCATAAGTATGCATGGTAATGAAATGAACAAACCTATACAAAATTGATTTTAACAAGTAAATTTTTAAAATTTGTTTTGCAGTCATTTGAAAAAGCTAAGGATTTTTTTTTCTTTTGAATATTTTGTATATGGGAAATTATATGGACAATGTGGATATGCATGCTACTAACCTGTGGACTCTCTAGTAGGGTCTGCAACCACCATAACTCGTCGACTATCGCCTTTTCTGGTACCGGCAGGGTCTTCCATCCCAACCATCGACGTGAAACAATGTATTCCACCACCAGCCCCGGCCCAGTGCCCCTAGCTATAATTATTGTTGTTTTGGCTCTTCATGAAGATGATCTAAAAGAAATGAAGAGAGGGGGCTAAAAGATGTAATTTGGTTTCTTATTATCTCCCTTGCATGAAATTAGAGCAAAGAATGCATTTGCCTTTTTCGAGTATTCTTTACCCAACCCCTAATTTCCTCAACTTTTCTCCTTTAACTCCATGCCTTTGTTTTGCTAAATTAGGATATTATTATTATTTTGCATCATTTTTATGTCCTGAAATTGAATGGATTTGGGCAATGACAACTTGGTGGGCATACCCATAAAAGGGGAGCAACATTGCAACTAATGAATTCAACCGTTAATATTTTTGGTATAGTGATAATTAAACTAGTTATATTGCTCTATTGTTGCTTCTTTGAGTTTTTGTGAACATGAAAAGAAAAAAAATGCATTGATGCATTATTCGAGTCATTTCCAATCAATAGGTTTAAACAATTTTGAAGTTTTTATATTCTTTCCTTAACTTTTGAGCATTTTTTTTTTCAATTATTAAATGTTTGATTTTAATATGATCAATTTTTAATACTTCATATATCACTAAAGTATAACTACGTTTTTATTTTCTACATAGTTTATTAAACTTTATTGTCTTTTCAAATTAAAAACAAGTGTAATAAATAGAATCCATTATGCCTGTATTTTATAAGAATTTGCCTAAAATAATATTACTATCATTGAATGAGTGTGCAAATGCTTTTCTATATTTAACTCAAATTAAGCCATCAATTTCTCTCTAAGTAAAGTGGTACTCCGTAATTTGTTTTGTTTAAAAAAAATGTGGTAATTTGTTTAGGGATCTACTTTTAAATACATACTACGATACCTTAGAGTAATTGATGAAACTTTGATGGAACAAGATAGTTAGATAGGTAAGTACCTTGATTATTTTTTTGTCTGTTTGTATATTTAAGAAGGAACAAACATATCTTTTTGTCAAATTTGAAGTATATCCACACCATATATCTTTGAATGCTTCTACTACGTATAACTTTTGAGTTGTGTGTCCATGTTGCTTGTGTTACAATTTTTTATTCAGTCTTGTTTTCGAAATGCTCTAATATACTTCGTTTCTTTTTAATTGCAATACAAGAATTTTTTATGTCTACCAAATAATATTCCTTTGTTGCAACTAAAAGAAACAAAGGTATTATATCACTTTTCACGATAATTATATGATAGTCATCCTTAAAACGACTACCATTATATTAATTTTTTAGTGATTGATTTTGATTTATTTTTTAATGTCAAAATTAATTATAAATCATTCATCCAATTTTTAAAATTCATTTATTAATTTTGAAAAAAGCCTGTTCAGCTGACCTCAGAGGCTTCCAGTCATCCGGAACAGCATGTTTCTTCTCGGCGGCGCAAAATTACAATTGTTGTTAACCAGGGAAAATAATTCGTGTTAAATGGTGAATATATATTGAGAGGGAGCTGAAGAAGTAAGAAGTAAGTGTTTTGTGATCCATCAATAGATACTTTGGAGAAAATTATCGTGATCCAAATTTAAAAAAGAACATTAAGGAATAATGATGAACGAAAAATAAATAACATTTGTTTCCAACACATAATAATACAGATGGGACGATTAAACTAAATTGAGACGCCTCGCTGAGTGTTGATGGGTGGGTGGGTCTTGGAGTCATTGCGAGGGACTGGAAGGGCGAGGTACTGTTTGCTGCTACTTGTCGTACTATTGCTCATTGGCCGCCAATTATTGCAGAAACCAAGGCTGCTGCCATGGCGATCAGGTTAACCAAACGCTTTGGCTTGAAGGACATCATTCTTGAAGCAGATAGCCAAGTCCTCATTACTAGACTGTCGAAGGCCTCGGTTTTCTTCACCGATCTTGATGCAATTCTAGATGATATATTGTCTTCTTGTGTTCATTTTAATTCCGTTTTGTGGTGTCATGTAAAACGAGATAGACATAACTTCGCTCGTATTTTGCCTTATAGTGTTGAACAAGTTTCGGAGAACCATAGCCACCCTTGTGAGATTTCTCCTTAAGTTTTTTATGGATAAATTATCAATATAAAACACCAATTACGGGGTTTCTAAATAAAAAATACAATTTCCATAAAAAATAACATAAATTTGAAAATGACATATTTTCATTTCAACAAAGAAATTTTTTGGTGCACACGACAGCACTCTTTTAAAGACCAAGATGATAGAAAAGTAACAAATTAAATGGGATTAGGTCCAATTATAAAAAAGAAAGGTGATGTGCCAGGGACAGGTTCAAGAATTGATCACATGATTTTTATATCCTCTATTACCGTCTTCTATTTCACTAATTCAAAGAGATTTCATCCCAAAATTATATGACAATATAAAAATTAGCCTCTTAACCTTTATACGGACTAAAGTGTTTAACTGCTTTAATTTTTTTTTATCAACGTGAGACACTAATATATACATTGTTTGGGAATGTTACACTCCATAACTTCCTATTTAATGTTAATAGTTGGCATGTGTCGATAATACAAGCTTCAATGCGTCATAAAATAGTGTATTGTTAATCATCTGTTTTACAAGAACATATAATTACTCCCTCAGTCCCTTTTTAGTGGCCTGTATTCTATTTTTGGGTAGCCAAAATTAGTAGCATATTTCTATTTAAAGAGTGTACTTTTTGACAAAATTACACTCTTTTTATGAGTTGTAATTAACTTTCGTTTATTTTTATGTATTTTTGGCATCATTTCCCAATATTTTCTCTCTCCCTTTTCAATAATTACCAACTACCTTTTCTTTTTCTATCTCTCTCTAACCCCACATGCATATTTGAACACTCAATTCTTAATTTTAAAGAATCTACAACTTCCTTAATTCCTGTGAAAAAAACCCAAATAGGCTACTAAATAAGGGACGGAGGGAGTACATAATTATTATACAGATTATACAGTATTTTCTCCATTTTTTTTAAGTGCCCCATTGGGAATTTTGACACTATTCACTAAACATAATTTGACCAATATTTGTGAATTATACATAAGAAAAAATATAGTCTTGTGGGTACTTGTTAGAATCGTCTCAATGAGTAAATAACTAATACTCAATTGTTATTATTCATAATTAATGATAATTAAAAATATTATTAATTAAAATTTTACATTGACATACGTGTCATAAAATTATACGGAGGGTGTAGCTTATTAGAAGTACCGAGTAACATAAAATTCAGGTACTACTCGTACTAGCTAGAGGTTAAAAAGAAGGTATCCTTCCACTAAAATATGGAATACTTTCTGTTGAACCCATATTCAAACATCATAGATCAGATATCGTATTTATGGCTTTCCCTCCCTAAAATCGCCTTAGCTACCCATATATTTATTTATGTACTCCGTACTATACATGCATCAAAGTTTGATGCACTCGGTTCGTCATTCGTCATATTTGTAGTCGCACCAAATTCATAATTAATTTTCAATCCTAAACTTAACTTATTTCAATTACGTGGTAGGAAACCTTGTAACAGAAAGCAAAATCTAAGCTAATCGTGTATCTTTCTTTCTTAAAAAAAAAATGAAAAACCTTAGACAAGTATACTTTTGTCTCGGTATGGTGATCCATTATGATAAACAATACATGCAAATAAAATTAGTAATCTGTATTAACTATGTTAACAAAAGTGCGTTAAATGGGACCGATGGTGATTTGGTTGGATTTTATTTAATTTGATTCTAACCCATCATGGGTTTAGTGGATCAATAATTTTTATGTCTATAGTTGATATAGTAACTACATGTGAGATGTGTGTGACAATATAATGAATGACTAACATTTAGCCATAATATAGCATATTAAGAAATAATTATTGCTGGCCTATACATACTAGAAGTGATTTATTTCATCTATACCTTATTATGTACTACCATTAAGATTTTTATTATTTATTTCTCATACTAGGAAATTCCACCTCCAATCTCATTTCATGCATTTTGTCAAGAATTCAATGTTGAGAATAATTATTTTGGTAGAGTATTCTTAATAAACTTCAACTCTTTTGATTGATTGTCTTAATTAAATCTCTCTTTTGATCTTTAAAAGGTTTTCTTTCTTTTCCTCAAAAGGTTTAATTCCTTCATGCACTGAAAATTAATTGACTCTTGTTTTTAGCATGAAAATACCACTTTTAGTTCACCAGATTTCCATGCACATAGAAAATTTCTTATTATAATTTTTAAAATATATAGTGTAGTTGCTAAATCATTGGCCGCATGTCCAGCAAGTTTATTCCATACCCTAATGTTAACAATTTTATATATTAACCATTAAACTTTTTTGAACTATATTTCCAGACATGAAGGTTACCTTTTAATTTACTACATCGATCACAAAATCTTAGTACCAATTGAACAAGAAAAGTAAAGAGATAAATTATAGAAATTAATTAAAGCAAAAGGTTTAAAATGAGATATATATAATTTATATCAGAAAATACGATATCTGATATCTATGATGTTTGAAAATTATACAGTAGTGTACAAAGCATGACTAAATCACTAACATAACAATTGTCCTTTACTAAGTGACTAATTGAATATTTCTAAAGAAAAAAAGTGACTAATTGAATATTATGATATTTGAATATTATACAGTAGTGTGAAAGTACCACTACCAATGAACAATTATTGTTGTAATTCATGAAGAGTAATTATTGACGTAGACTTCTTAGTTCCTCCTTACTGAACAAAGCAAGGTTAGTTTTTGGGTCGGAAGTAGAAAGAATAAATGTAGTCATTCTACCATTATAACAAACCACAATTCAGAGCGTTGAGTGACGCTATATTACTTGTAACTTCATTTAATTCTCTCATCTGTCTCCCATTCATTGCCTTTCCCATTTCCTTTAAATCTCACCTTCATTCTTTCCATTTTCTTTGCAATTCAATTCACAATCAAAAAAGAAAAATGACCCCAAATTTACCCGACTTCTTGAGCTCAGTGAAGCTCAAATACGTAAAACTCGGTTACCAATATTTAGTTAATCACTTCATTACTCTCCTGCTTATTCCAGTCATGTTTAGCATCTTACTACATCTTCTCCAACACGGCCCGTGTGAGATCATCCAAGTATTCTCGTCTTTCCACTATCTTAACTCGTTACAAATTATATGTTCTTTGTTTCTTATTGTATTTGTGTCCACCTTGTACTACATGTCCCGCCCACGGGCCGTGTACTTGGTGGACTACGCTTGTTTTAAGCCACCCGCTATGCTTAGGGTTCCATTTTCGGCTTTTATGGAGCATTCGAAACACATTGTAAAAGACCAAAAAAGTGTAGATTTCCAAATGAAGATTCTAGAGCGATCCGGGTTAGGGGAAGAGACGTGTTTGCCTGCCCCTATTCATTATATTCCCCCTTCGCCGAGTATGGCTGCTGCTCGCGAGGAAGCTGAGGATGTTATCTTCAGCTGCCTCGACAAGCTGTTTACCAGTAGTACTGGTGTTAAAGCAAAGGATATCGATATTTTGATTGTTAATTGTAGCTTGTTTTCACCTACACCGTCTTTGTCGGCGATGGTGGTGAACAAGTATAAGTTACGAAGTAATATTAAGAGTTTTAACTTATCTGGGATGGGTTGCAGTGCAGGGTTAATATCAGTAGACTTAGCTAAAGATCTTTTACAAGCTCATCCTAACTCTAATGCTGTCGTTATTAGCACTGAAATTCTAGTCCCCAATTTTTATTGTGGGAAAGAAAGAGCAATGCTCCTCCCAAACTGTCTGTTTCGAATGGGAGGAGCGGCTATTCTTCTTTCCAACAAGACGGCCTACAGAAGGCGGGCTAAGTACCGCCTTCTGCACGTAGTCAGAACACACAAAGGAGCCGACGACAAGGCTTACAATTGTGTGTTTCAGAAGGAAGATGACTGTGGAATAGTTGGGACTGCACTGTCAAAAGATCTTATGACTATAGCAGGTGAAGCACTAAAATCAAACATTACTACTTTAGGTCCGTTAGTTCTACCAACTTCCGAGCAACTCCTTTTTCTACTCTCTTTAATCGGGAGGAAGCTCGTTAACCCCAAATGGAAGCCTTATATACCCGATTTCAAGCAGGCGTTTGAGCATTTTTGTATCCACGCAGGTGGTAGGGCGGTTATAGATGAACTCCAGAAGAACCTTCAGTTGTCAGGTGAACATGTAGAGCCATCTAGAATGGCTCTACATAGATTTGGGAACACTTCGTCGTCGTCGTTGTGGTACGAGTTGGCCTACATTGAGGCCAAAGGGAGGATGAAGAAGGGTGATAGAGTTTGGCAAATTGGGTTTGGAAGTGGGTTTAAGTGTAATAGTGCTACTTGGAAGTGTTTAAGAGGTGTTACTTCTGTTAACAAAGATAGTCCTTGGGTTGATTGTATGGATAAGTATCCTCTTCATATTCCTGAAGTTGTCGAGTTTTAATTAATTAAATAAGGGATCCCATTAATTAATCCCTTTTTTAAAAGAAATTTATCAGTTTATTTTTTGTTTTTTTTTGTTTTTAAGTGTTAGTTTAGTTTATCTGTAATGGGTGGGTTGGTTTTCTAGGTGTGATTTGTAATGTGATTTCTAGTATTTAATTTGATATTCAAGAAATAAATATGATCTATTCTGTTGAGTTTAAATGGAATTAAAGGTATTGATGGTTTGATGAATATAATGCATTTTGTTGGGTATTGCTATTGGTGGTGCAGTAGTTGTCTTCAGTTTTGATTTCGATTCTGGTTTTTATTTAAAATTATTGTGCAATGAATTCAGTGTATGGTGATTGAGATATGAAATCAATTTTTGCATCTATTCGGCACATTTAGGGAAAATGACAAAATCTTGGTTGATAATAATAAAGAGGTCAAGTTTTGAACTTTAGTATTTATACAATTATACCAAAACATTTTACAAGTAAAATTAGGATAATTTAGGTGTACTAATTAATCACCAAAATTTACGCAAGGCCAAGCCCCAATCACAAGCTCCGGTGGAAGGCCCTCTTTCAAGAATGATGCAATGGCTCTCTAGCTTGAAGAAGTTTATGTTGGACATTAGTGTACATACTGTACGTGTATATAGTATAAATGTGATCTTGACTCTATTTTTTATGGTGTATCTTTTTGGCAAGTTAATAGAATTGGGCTAGTCGAAATGCTACTGTATAAATTTTGTAAAATGCTCATGTCCAAAAGACTCTTTTGAGTAGTATAACCGCACTGATCAATAAAAGAGCGAAGGTATATTATATAAGTTCAAAAAAGATTACGGAATAATATACATCACAAAACTATATAGTTTTAGGAGTAGACTAACTAAGCTAGTCTTGTAATCGATCTTAATACTCGTAGTACGTTATAAAGCATGTGATTAACCCTCTCTTTTATGTTTTTTTTATCAATATGTGAAACATTCACGGGTGGGCCTTTTTATAGGGCTTGAGTATTAATTCTCAATACCCTTAGACAAACCTGACCCCTCCCACGGGTTAGGACATAGTTCATATGGTAGATTCGGAGTATGATAGGTTACATTAGAATAAGTTTGACAATAGATTTAAGATGATCAAGGTTGCAAAGTGTGTAATAAATAAAGTATACATGGCTTGATCTCAAATAACTTCACGAGCTAACTTGAGGGAATCATGTGGCCATTCAATAGCTCGCTCAACCTCCCAGATTCAATTCCCAGGTCAGGTGTTGTATGATGGGCATGGCCCTACGTGCAACATTGATCATACATGCAACATTGATCATTCTAGTAGTCAAACCATTTATTTAGTATTAATTTCAGAAAATGCTGAATGTTGTACTTGTATATATAATGTACTACGTATATTATTATTCCCAAATATCTAAGATAATGCTATCAAATGGCTCAAGAGCTCATGGCTTCAAGTGCTACGCCAAGTCAAGGTTCATTTTTGTTCAATGATGTCTAATAATATTAATAATAATAATAATATAAGTAATAATAATTTATCATGTTCAATCGACATACGAGTAGTTAAGAGCTCAAACTGACTGACTGAGCTAATTCAAGAGCCAAATTTAAATATGGTATATGCTGTCTTGCAGCTATAAAGAAAGAAATAGTTATCAACCATTTTCATGTAAGTAATTAATTAATGTTTTAGTTACAAAATTAATTGAACGGTCTCAGTTTTCTCACCCTATCTTTGCTCGTTACTGAAACAAGCTACTTTTTCGTATACTAGCTTCACAGTATAGCTAAGTAGCTTTTCCCGCTTCTTTTCTTCCTGCGGTGTATTTTAAATGAGGCCATTTATTGAGGCTTTGTTGGTGTCTTCCGAGCGTATCCGTATCCAATGCGGAGTACACATTTTATTTTTTTATTTTTATTTTATTTTTTTGTTTTGACAAATTTGGGTGAAAGAGATAATTGAATGACTTAATCATTATTTAGGTAGAGTTTTTATACAAAACCCACACTCATAAGATAGGATAAGTGAAATGTAGAATTTATACTGACCATAAATGTTTGAGGTACATTTTCACCCAAAGAGATCTAAACTCGTGCCAAAGGAGATGGTTAGAATTCGCAACGGACTACGATTTGGACATACAATACCTTGAAGGGAAAGCAAATGTAGTTGTAGACGCTCTAAGTCGTAAAACCAGTCATGGTTTGAACACTTTGGTAGTGGCTGTTGAATTGTGTAGGGAAATGAGGAAAATGAACTTAGAAGTGGTGGAATAGGGAGTACCAGCAGGTATACTTGCGAATCTAAGTATTCAACCAATAATATTTGATAAGATAAGGGAAAACCAGGCAGGAGATGTAAAGTTGGATAGGATTCGTGAGAAAATAAAGTAAGGAAAGGCTACATATTTCAAAATTCATGAAGATGGGAGTCTTCAAAGGTAGATGGTGTGTACCACAAAAATGTCAGAAATTAAAGAGAAAATTGATGGAGGAAGGACACAATATACCATACTCAATACACCCTGGAGAGGATAAACTATACAAAGACTTGCATTTCGATGGATTTTATGACTTTCCTCCCAAAGTCAAAGAGTGAAAATGATACCATTTGGGTCGTGGTGGATAGACTTACCAAATCTACAGTGTTCATACCATTGAAGGAGACCTGGAAGATGGGGCAACTTGCAAAAGCTTACATCAATAATGTTGTGAGGTTACATGGAGTTCCAAAAGATATTGTGCCTGATAGAGATTCTAGGTTTCTTTTAAAGTTCTGGAAGAGTGTGCAGGAAAACTTTGGTACAACACTAAAGATGAGTACAACATTTCACTCTGCCACAGATGGACAAACTGAGAGGACTATTCAAACCTTGGAAGATATGTTGAGAGCTTGTGTCATAGACTTTCAAGGGGATGGGAAGATAGCTTGGACTTAAATGAATTTTCTTATAATAATAGCTACTATGCGAGTATTGGTATGGCTCTATTTGAGGCATTATATGGAAGAAAGTATCGTATGTACCCCTATATGTTGGAACGACATAAGTGAAACAATGATCTTAGGATCTCTAATGATTGAAGATACAGTTAAGCAGGTAAAAGAGATTCAAGCTAAGATTCAAGCAGCACAGGATCGTCAAAAGAGTTATGCAGATTTGAAGCATAGGGAAGAAGTGTTTGAAGTTGGTGACAAAGTGTTGTTGAAAGTATCACCAATGAAGGGTGTTATGAGATTTGGGGAGAAAGGAAAACTTAGCCCAAAGTATATTGATCCATATGAGATATTGCAAAGGATAGGCAGAGTAACTTATGGGTTGGCCTTACCTATGGAGCTAAGTAATTAAGGTGCATAATGTATTTCATGTATCTCAGTTAAGAAGGTATATACTTGATAAGTCTCATGTGCTACAACCTGAAACAATTGAGTTAGATCAAAGCTTAACTTATGAGGAAAGACCTGTCAAAATCCTTGACAGTAATTTGCGTAGTACACGCAACAAGGAAGTTAAGATTTTTAAGGTGCTATGGTCTAACCAAGAATATGAGGAAGCAACTTGGGAAGTTGAGGATGAGATGAGAAAGAAATACCATGAGTTGTTTGAGGTATGTTGAGTTACAGGGACGTAACTCGTTTTCTTTAAGGGGGGTTGAATGCGGTAGAATTTCGTGCTTTTTTCCTCTATTTTCAGTTATTTTAGTGTTTTTTTGCACATTTTTAACAGTTATTTCGAGTACTTTTGATTTCAAGGAGACATTAAAGGTAAAAGTGTGTCAAAAGAGTACATCAATATTACACAAAGTTAGGAAAAATGTTGATTTTTCGTTACCCAAGTTTCGGGACGAAACTTTTTAAGGGGGGTAGATTGTAATACCCTGTATTTTTATACGTAAATTAATTTAAAGCAATATTTTATGAAGTATTTAAATAATTCGAAATGAATTATTTATGGTATTTTAATAATTTTAAAAGGTTTTTTTTTTAATTAAAAGTCTATATTTATTTATTTAATTATTTTGGAAATATTTTATTTTATTATTTAAAAACTTTGGGGCATAATTAATTTATAAAAGGAAATTTTAAAGTCAATGGAGTTTTAAAGAAAGTCAAATGTCATTTTGAAAAGGAGTAGGAATCATTAAGTGTAAAAAAAGAATTTAAGTTAGGAGGGTTTTGAGAGAGGGTATAAATACCCATCATATAAGCAAATTAAACTTTTCCCAAGGTGGAGAATACCCAAAGGTAAAAATCTCTTTCTCTCTCCTCTTATTTTTCTCTCTCCTTTAATTCTTCCCCTTTCCCTCACAAACACTCACACACATGCACACCAAGGTGGCTGCCCGCCACCACCACCACCACTTCCCACCGGCCGGCCACCGCCTCCAGCAGTCGCCGCCAGCGTGGAGGGCGGGAGCGGCCCCTCCTCGTGCGTGCGGTTGTGTTTTTTTTTTTTTTAAAAAAAAAAAAAGAAAAGAAACTCTCTCTCTCTCTCTCTCTTTTGTTTTAAATTAATCCAACCTTGATTAATTATTGATTCTGGATGTGTGTGATGATTTTATTATGTTTTAATAATGATTAATATGTATGTAATTTTCAGATTTGGTTTTTGAATTAAAAAGCCCAAAATTGAAAACCCTAGGTTTCTAAATTAATGTTTATTGATATTGTAGTTGATGAAAACTATTGAAATTTATGTTTTTAAACAAAATTACAGCAAGTTTATAAGTTTTTACAATGCTGGAATTTTTATATTAGAGGCTAGAATTATGTTTCTTGAAAGGATTTTTAATTACCCATTAATTGGGAATAACAGTAGGTGGTTTAAATTAATTTTCAACTTGCTTTAAAAGGTTTAAAAGTGTTTTAAAGAGTGTATATATTGCTGGAAATTTATTATGAATAGGTATTAATATCTCTTTGTGATTTTGGGATGTAGGAGACTTCCAAGTGAGTGATTTTGTGTAGTCGTGGCGATTTTGAGATCATATTCGAGGTATGTTCGCGTACTCGGTAATTATTTAAGTGTGTATAAACATGCTAAGCTTTATTTAATTAATTCCAAGGTAGTATCATGATAGGTATTGATTGGAAATGTTGATTGGATTGATTTTGGTGATTAAACTGTGAAGTATGAATTAATTGAGGTGAATTATTGATTGGAATTGATTATGCTGGCATGTTGATTATGG